CGCAGTACCGATGCTTTGCACCTGCGCAACCACCACTGGTCGCACGTGGGATAAGGATATTGCGAGGGGCGCTCTGTCAGTACGCAGGCTCGAACCCGCGCTGTCAGATTACAAGACAAGCTTGTTACCTATAGGCTACGGACCAGGCTTTCCCAAAGTGGGCAATCAGTATACGACCTCTACTTTGTAAAGGATTCGCGTAGTTACTGGCTAATTCGCAGTATCCTTACCCACTCGCGACTGCTGGTGGTCATGTGGCAGTTAGGCATTCGGTTCGGCGTTTTGGCTAACACCGATGTCTCGTACCTATGGAACTTCTACTGACTGTCCCGGTCGAAATTCGGACCGGTGGCACCACGGTTGCTAGCCTCGTACGTCGTCACTTTACCAGTTTGGCTCTGCAATTAGTTCAAACTTCCGCGTTTATGAATTCATTGTCGCTCTTTGGTCACCTGTTTTCTCATACATTCGCCGGCGTGTCATTTGCAGATAGTATAGTTTCGCTGTGTTGAATCTTTATTCTATCTGTAGACTGGCTTTTATCCCGGCTGCAGTTGTTTTCATCGTAGCCTGTACCCGCCCGTAGCCTAAAGGGAACAAGTCTGCTTTGTAATCTGACGGCGCGGGTTCGAGCCTGCGTGCTGACAGGGCGACCTTCGCAGTATCCAATTGGGCGGCAGCGGAGCGTCGGTACTGCGTACCGGTGTGCTGCTGATGCCTTACTTTCTCATCGCAGCCAATCATTTATACCCCGGACATTGAAATGTGACCGTGGAATCTGTCACATATCCTTGTAATCTCACTAATGGCAGTGTTAAGATTTATATGCTTTGTAGTAAAATTTAGAAGTAACCCAAGCAAACATAAATGAAAGACTGAAGAAATATTGGGGGGAAATTGCCAACAGTTCCGTGGAGCTTTAACCGATTAAATTCATTGACCGTACACAAGAGCACCACTGATTCTGCGACTGCGTCTTGTCCGAAGGAATCTGCAATTACTATCGGGGTTCGAGCTGTGGAACACACCCTGTGTGACCAGACGTATTCGTTAATTTCCCCGTATTATCGCGCCGTGTAGTTAGTTGACCATTGTAATGTTGCATGGGTGCAGTCTGAGCTCATTGCTTGACTGTCATCCTAAAAATAAATTTCTATCAATGTAAACGATTTCAATCTAAGTGCCCATCCGGTGCCATACGGCGGAATTCGTCACCGGACATCACAACTTGCACTTTGGCACCGGCAACTCCGTGGTTCTACCGGATACGAGCGATGCTACGTATACACCACCTTCAAACGTCTCTGTCTCTTGATTTCCTCAATTCACATTGGCAGTGCTCTGACTCACACACTGGCACGGGCCAAGCTTTTGTTTTGTGCACTCTGCTCTTGCTCGATAGGCTGCCAACTCACACAGGCTTACCGATACAACGAGTAGCCTCTTCGGTGTTTAGCCAGTATTGCCCATATCACTATCCAGGTGCATGAACCTAGCACTGACCTCTCATGGTTCTTTGGTTCCTGCATGGGCCATTGGTGCGTTGACCCAGCCTAACTCACGTTAACATATTTGCTCCAATTCCTCGGTTCTCCTCGTCAATGCTACTCAAGGACACATCTTGTATCAAGATGCCATCTGTTGCGGCTGATGACTTTGTTTTTTGCATAATCATTATCAATATACACGATAGCTGCAGGTGGAAAACATCTCAGCTATTGTGCTCCACTACAAAAGAACAGACAAAATGAGAGGCACGCCGGCTGAGCCACCAGTAACGGATGGACATCGTTCCGGAGAGCTAACAGCCGGATATTGTGCCGCCAAATAGTCATATTACCCCTACTAATTGTGATTGTAGTCGGGGAGGAGGCTAAGCGGGAGGGGAGGGACAAAGAAACTCACGACACAAACGTCACTGGGGGGCGACTCTTCGCCATATCGGTAAGTGTGTCCAACCAAACGTGTTCATCGTCTTTAGGACCCCAGCTACGCAGTCAGGATGCACCAACCGACGCCAGCTTCGAAGTGAGGGTTTTCATTTCTCTCGACCAAGTCATCGCCTGGCCTCCTCTCCCAACCGCACACCCGGCGTGCAAACAATGCCCGTCGCGGGGGTCGGTGTGCTGGTATGCGCAACACGCGACCCAGCCATCGGAGCCTGGGGGGTGATGTTATGGTGCTGAGCGGTTCACTCGCTCTTCCTGCACCAAATACGCGACACCGAACACGCTCATTGCTCACGCAGTGCTCCCACCAGACATGAGCTAAGCTGCGACGGCAGGGATGATCGAATGTGACGAGCCTCTTTATGTCTATCGACCTGATGGGCCAGGTTTCACAATCGTTTGAGAGTTGAACGGACTGCTGCATTATACACTCTTGCCTTCAGAGCAAGGGTGATGTGTCTGCGCCACAGGTGGCGGAGATTGGCAAAAGTACCTCGAGCGGTTCATAATCTCATCTTCGATCTTACGGGCGCTAATATAGCTGCCCAGGTACTCGAAAACCTGAAAGACTTTTAGCTGATCACCACCAAGGCTCAGCACAGGGGTGGTTTCCTACCAATCTTGGAGAAGTACTTTGCATTTCGATAGAGAAAAGCATAGCCCAAAGCGATTGACAGCTAGTGCTAATCCATCCAGTGCTGTTTGGCGTGTTTGGGAGCTGTCACAGATGAGAATGATATCCTCCGCATACTCCAAGTCAAGAAGTCGCTCAGCAGGAAGCTTCTCTACACCTTCTAGGTCGTGTGCAGCGAATGCTGTTTCGATGATTTCCTCAACTGCGAAGTTAGATAGGAAAGCTGACAGCGGGCAACCCCTTCTCACACCGTTGGAGATACTGAAGGACGACGACAGTTTGCCCTAAACCCACACTCTGACCTAACTATGCGCATACAATGCTTTGATAATGTTTACGTATATGTCGGACAGCTTTCCTGAGCATACAGTCCCAAAGGTACATTGATTAACCGAATGGAAGGCACGTTTGATGTCGAGAAACTCGACTACTGTGGGTTGCCATCAAACATAGCGGTGATCGGACACTTGACATATGGTGAATATGTGGTCGCTGCAGCCCCGACATCGATGAAACCCGGCTTGCTCTTCACGAATTTGGCCTTCACAAATGCCAGTCAAACTGTGGAGAATGACAGACCCAAGTAAGTTAGTGGTAATAAAGATCAGACCGATCCCCCTATGATTGCCGCATTCCGAACGGGAACCCTTGAAAATGGCGACAATGACGGAGCGGCTGCATTCTGTCAAGACAGTTTCCTGCTGCCAAATTTCCACTAGCAACTCGTGTACATTATTTACGAGAGCTTGTCACCCGAACTTAACGAGGGCTGGGGGAATCCTATTTGCCCCTGCGGCTCTACACAATTTCAACAACCTGATCTCACGTTCGACCTCTGCGCGTGAGCGCGGATCTAAGGAGACGGTCCATGGAGAAGGACACTTAATGCCAGAAAAAGAAAACGATAATTCGGTTTGGTTATACTGTCTTGCGGAGTGTTCTGCCCAACGCTCCAAGCGTTTTGACAAGCTGTGGTTCGGCTGTCCACTCTCGTCGCGTATTGTCTCCCCAACACCAGGTCTCCTGCTGCCTGTTTCTCGTATTAATGGGCAGCGGCCGTTTCCATTTCCAATGTGAGATGAGACCACCTGGCTTCGCGATCTCACTTTAGACTAGCGCGCAGTTTTGCCCTGAGATTTTTGCGAGTCTCATTATGTTCGCTTCCAACCGGAAAACGTCGGTGAGCATCCATGAATTTCAGCGCTTTCTGGGGACCCAATGTCTATGTTGGCAATGTGATTGGCCACATGAAGACATGCCTGATAATAGTAACATTTGACGAATATGCAATCATCGGTCTTCGGTGTTCATTGGGCGCTTACTCTGCTCGGATACCTAATGCAATATATTGGTTCAAAATTATTCGGAATACTGGAAACTCTGATTTGCTGTTCAGTCGTTGAATTGCCCTCCGAGCTGGGCAATTCGATCGCACACCAATGGCCAATTGCAAGCACCTAAGTACGAATATATGACGCCATGACCAACCAATAAGTGTGCACTAGTTATGAACAGAAGTAATTTTTTCTCGTGTTTGATATCCCTTCCACATTAAAGATATCACTTCAGCTGGCGACGCCGCGTCTGAAATTGATTTGTCAGGCTCGGCTATTAACTTACTATTCGGTGATCCATTTTATTGAAGCGATAGTTTAGCACGTAGTTTAGTTGCTTTACGAAAATCACCACCACCACTTAGTGATCCTCTGCACACTTTTAATGTGTCCACTCTTTTGCAGTCTGCTATCAGCAGACAATGGTTATTCGGTTCCATAAGAGTACGGATACCACAACTCACAGTCTCACGGATTGACACGCTGTTAGACCTATCCTTTTAGGTTACCAAATACGGTCCATGCGCGAAATCTTTTGCACCAGCAGTACACCGGTACGCAGTATCGACACTTCTCTGCCGCGCAACCGCGACCATCAGTCGCGCATGAGCTAGGAATATCGCGGAGGTCACCCGGTCTTCTAAGATATAGTCAGCTGTACGCCGTAACGGCGCTTCTCTGTCACGCGACCGCCACCAATCGTGCACAGGCAGAGTATACTGGGGAGACACCCACCCCTACGCATATTCGAACCGGTGACATGCTTGCAAACCAGGCGCGCAAACCACTGGGCCACTGATCTTCTATGCAGGCTCGAACCCGCGACCTCCTTATTAGGTAGGCTTGTGATCCCTAAGGCCGCCGGCCGGCTGCATGTACAAAAATAAACTTAACTGTCCTGATTTGCCTCGTAATTCACTACGATGTAAACTTGTGGCCTTCGTGTGAGCCTCCAACTGATTTTTGTTTGCATCATTTTCACTTTATCTTACTCATTAGTTCGACTTCAGGGTGTGCCGATTATAAACCTGATCGTATTCGATTAAATTCTTGTCTATGCTTTTCTGCATTATGTCTCCTCAGGAAGAGCCTCCTTACAATAAGGGTGCTTTCAAGATTGAAATCAACTTCCCTGCAGAGTATCCTTTCAAACCTCCGAAAGTGACTTTCAGGACACCTATCTATCATCCGAATATTGACGAGAAGGGTCAGATTTGCTTGCCGATAATCATTGCGGAAAATTGGAAACCGGCCACCAAGATCGAGCATGGTAAGTTTTTATTTATTCTTTCTCTTGTGGAATTCGTTACCCGCACGGCATGAAAGTAAAGAAATGTTTCTGTTGATTGGTGATTCCGTTGACATCATTACAAGTGATCTATTTTTATTCTTTTTATTAAATCTTATGCACAGCTAGATCGTGGGCTTTCCTGTACCAATCTTTAATGACTGAGTTAACATATACCAGGCGGAATCAACTCATCGGACACAAGACCGTTGTCTGTTTACCGGTCTCCTAGCTCTCCACGTCTGTGGTTATTGCGTAGTCTATCCTGTTGTCCCCCTCCATGATTTCACTTTAGGTAGTTTATTTCTGCACTCTTCTTTGCATATCACTGATTAGCTATTCAAAGCTTTTGCCTGACTAACCACATACAGTGCTTGACGTAATCGACTGACACGCACAGAACTCGATCTGTCCGACGCAGCGGTGTGTATCAGGCGATTCGGTCCGTTCTCTAGCCCGGTCTCCAACGCTCCCTTGCACCTTTTCAGTGCAGGTGTCATTCAGAAGCTTGAAGTGACCTTCATCAAGATGTTCGACAACTTTCGCATATCGTTTGGGCTCGACCCAGCGAGGAAATTCACTACAACCACGTCTCTCGAATGGCAGCGCAGATTTCGGTACTGGATGATTAGTCGAATCAGGCTCCCTGGGTCATGGGAATTGAATCTCTTAGTTTGAATTAGGGGCACTTCGGTCGGCTGATAACTATTGGCAGTAGTCAACCAATAAACCACTACTGTTGTCTGATCATTATGCGCTTTCGCCTGGACACTTTTACACATTACACACACTTTACACACATTACTCAATTTTCCTTTTCTTAACTGGTCTGCAATTCAGCAGTTGCCGAGCGTTCCTCCTAAATCGTACCAAAAAGATATTTGCTGAACCAGCTCCCCCCATTGAGTTATTGCCGCCTTTTAGCAACGGTTAAGGGTTTATCAGCTCTCTCTCTCAGATCTTTTCCCCAGATAGCTTTGATAAAGTTGTTCATCTCCTAATGGCATTGACCTCCAATATCTAGGGGACTTTTACTACTCTCCAGTCCTATTGCTCCATCTTAACACTGTTTCAAACTTCCCATATGACCCAATTTGTCGTTTCTCTCATGTCACAGCTCACGGTATAGGCCCACTCTATTTTCATTGCTTTTGAGCTAAGAAAACATTCCACTCTGAGTTCCTTTTCTTTGTACATGGGCAGCTTTCATTCGTCCGGCTACTCTGCCAAAGGACACACTAAACGGAAGTAAACGAAATTATCGCTTGTTAGATCACCAAAGTAGTCATTGCTTATCCTGCTATCCCCAACCTGCGACATTAGCGCCACCATCTCATTGCGCCTGTCAGGAGATGACGCAGCTCCAAATACCGGTGTGGGCATTGTTTTGAGCCCCCGAACTGAAGCTGCCCTGATCGATTGGACCCCAATGAACAGCCAGATGTACGCCGTCAGATTTTTCTGCTTGCTCAAAGCTTTGTATTCGTGTGGAGCTAAACGGTATCTGTTTGTCCTTGATGTTTACTCGCCTACAAACTGTAGCACTGACTCGGTGAATGATGATTTCTGCAACCAACTGAACACGCTCATTCGTTGCAGGAAAAGTACACATACTTTGGTGCTTTCTGGCGATCTGAACGCCCAAGTGTGCATGTGAAACACGCATCCGCTAGTGTGCCGCAATACAAGAAGATAAGATACTAAAACGAACAGTATGGAAACTTCGAAAAATCAAGTATTATTATTTTAAATATCGTATTATTAATTTACTATGAGATCATGATTGGCGGGCATGCCAGTTTTAGCGAGGATTGAGGATCCCAATGAGAAACAGACGAACTGACGTTTTCTACTTGGTTGCACATGTACTTATCGACTGAACCGGAGCGGCGCCCTGCGATTACAAGTGCGTTGAAACTAGAAGACAAGTGACTATTGAGGCAAGTCGGGTTTGTAAACAAGGTGGATAAGAGTGCAATTGGAGCGGGTCGATAAGGATGGAAAAGCGCGAGAAGGGGAATAAGAAGACGAGAAGGCTTGAGCAATAGCATCCAAACCCCTATCCACTCTGCTGGATGCAGCAGATAGGACGCCGTTTATTATCCTCTGCAACAGCCAGAGCATCAAGAAATCGAGTTGTATTTGGCAAACAAGATACTGTCAGGTTGCCCAGACTTAGACAAGAGTACGATTAGAGTTCTCAACCAAAGCCTTTGGTTCAAAAACCTCACCGCAAGGCAGCGGGATTGTGGCACTGGGCTACAGACAGTCCGTTGTATGGAGTAAGGAGCCTCCTTCACTACAACCCTCAACCTGAAGGGCAAGGGGACTGAGTTTGTCTGGCCTCTAACCATTGACCAATCTGGTATGAGTGGCTCTGAAGATGCGAAAAGCCCCACACAGCATAGCTCATTGGATCATTGAGGCGCACAAATCATCGCACCACGTTAAGAGCCAGCCTCGTCGCGATGGATTCGGTGAACAGCTACGACGACGATGTGAATGCGTAGGCAGCAGGCAACTGACAAAGCCAGCTGTTCTGTATGCATATCAAAGCACGCTGGCATCCGTGCTGTGTAAACGCTCATTGAACACAGTTGAAGGTCATTGGTTACACGTTCGCTAGACGTTACTATCAACGGGCATCTCTTCATGGGGCGAATCAACTGGCGAACCTGGACATTGGGTCTTTATTCGGTCTCCGGAAATTTTGTATGCCTTCCGACATGTTCCGGCTGGGAGCGAACATTAAGACTCGCAAATATCTCAAGACAAAACGGCATGCCAACCTGAAGAGAAACCACGAAGCTTTGTGTACTCATAGTGCCTATGAGATTGAAAAGTCCGCTGCGCTTGGTAACCATCGGAAGTTATTCGGTCCGATGTGGACACCAGGAGGCACAGTACCTACTTCCAACATTACAGGAAGCACGCTGTATGCAACACCCACTTCACCACTTGCGTATCTCCAACCGGAAAGTATCTTGTCTCCTCGGTAGTCGTTAATGACTTCCTGGATTGCATGATCAGTCTTCATCTCTTTCTTTGTTTCGTTGCTGAGTTTTTATAGACGTTGTTTCCATTTTGGCTATTTCTTAGATGACGTTTCACTTTACAATCTATCGGCTATCCGATCGGTCGAGGCAACCCATTATTCTCGCTCTCACTGCGTGCGCTACTTCAAGTAGGTCAATCGGGATATTTTGTTTCATCGGTTGCGTTAATGTGCCCGGCATCCCAGGGCACAGAAACAGCGTATACGTTCCGTAGGTTTGCTTCAAACCACCGGCTGTCCGCTGTTTTGCACAAAACTGCCATGAGATGCAGTTTATACCGATCTGCTATTTGGTATCTCATGACCGTAGCAAAGCTCAGATAGTGAGGTCCCATCCTTTGTCTGCTGTTCTTAATCCTGATTATACCCTTTCGCGCTGCTGATTTTCCCTTAATTTTGACAAGGAGAGCGGCATATGTTTCTCTCATTTGGAGACTGAGATGCGATTTCAGCCTTAGAAAGATGCTCTGCTTGCTTTTTCTCTTCCCAAACTTTCAGGTATAGTTGTACTGGTCTTCTGGTTCTGAACCGTTTTTTTTCTTCTGCTTGAGCTATAGACAGTTGTTTGAAAGTCGCATCCTTCTCAAAAGTCTTAAGTGCGCTGACTACCACGCGCTCTGCACACATTGTACTTTTGCACAATCACTGTTAGTCGATCTGTTTAGCTTTCTTGGTAAATTCATTAACATTATCCGATGTATTGCTGCTAGAATATTTCACGCAGCACGAAGTTCAGAACCCATAAGAAGACTTCCCTGCTCTGATTTTAGTCACTTCGGGTCTTTGATTTTCGCTACCCATAAGGCACTTCTCTTGTCAACCGGCACCAACACGTCGACAAAGAAGTGCACAGGCCAGCACTAGTCCATGATCATCAGATCTGCACGTTGTTCATCCAATAAGATTGGTTGTATCGCTTCGATTCTTTCACATGTGACATTTGTCCGCTCATTGCTCAGGAAGTAATTATTTTATGCCTTATACTGAATGGTTCCAGAATTCAACAGACTTGCGCTCTCCACTTGGTTGGGTGCCATTGATCCGTCTCCCTTTTCGGCCATGATCCACACGACCATACTTGTGTTTGTTTCGGAGTATTACAGCACACGGTCGGCATTCTACACCAGTGGCATGTTTTAGGTTGTTTGGTCTAACCTGGTACCGAAAGCGCCTGTCTGTCTTTACTCGTTTGTTTGAATAGCGTCTGCTCCGCTCTGTGGGCCTCGGATCACCTGAAGAGAGCTGTCGTTATCTGCGCCTTTGCACATGTGTGTATCCACTCAAGCAGCCATGTAGTCAGTAACGTTCCTGCATTCGTTTTTTTGCATCTGATTGTTAATTTTTCTTTCATTCTGGCTAGTTTAACGCACTTCTTTCTCGATCCCATCATTTTTGTCTCTCATTTGCATTCAGTTCATCTTCTTACCGTTGTTATTTATTGTTATTCTGGCGACTTTAATCGAGAAAACTAGATCCACCGCACTTCGGTACCCGAACCATAGTTATTCCACTGAACTTGACTGAACTCAAGCAGCGTAGTAGGTTGCATGGGTAGGCCAGAGAGATAAACTAGATGGTACTGTCCAAGAACAGAATCAATACTGCCAACTAAATTGTGTTAATTCCATTCCTGAGCACTTTAACCTGATCACCGTTCAGCTTCGTTCAATTGTAGTTAATCGATCACTATACTGGGTTCAGTTAGAATTGCCCTAACCCTAACAATATCGTAATGAATTATCTTGATTATGATGCAGGTGAGATTGGATGCCGCTAGAAAGCTACATCTCTGTGTCAGCTTACCGTAACAGCACTGACAACTGTTTGCGATCATGCACTGTTGGCGAGGAGTGGGCATTTATCCAGTATGCTTGTTTAGTGCATCTAAGTTTCATATTAGACCTTTTCTCCTCTCCTAACTTCTTATTAGGGTCACATTTTTAATAATGTGATTTTATGTTTGCGTGTTTGTAATGTCGTTGCTTCGCGCCCCCAGTGTACTATAATTTTTGCGGATTTAAGCTATCTTCACTGTGGATGAAGTCATTATACCATATCTTGGTCGAAGTAACACATAATGCAGTCGAATCATTCCGTAGTGCAGTCAATTTAGTTCTTTGTGCACTCTTCTGGTAAGTCAGTTGGCAGTTAACGCAAGCAAACACATGTAACCAGCCAAGTGACTAAACCTCCACCATCCGCTTAGCTATTGGGCCGTCTTCACTTGAGCGAAAGCTTTCAGTACTCTTTCTGAACAAGCTTCTGCGTCACCTCTCTGTGCATATTCGCTGGCTTCTCTGTATTGTTGCGTGTTTGAACCGCACTACGCATTGAGCCACGTACTGATTACCTTTTCATTGCGAATTGTACTTGTTAAATTCTGTCCACGAGACGACTACGTGTAACAGTATGCTGTTCATTTGTTCGCCGAGCTGGGCAAGTTGGTTGCAGACCTTTCGTCACCACTAGATGACATCATTAGTGCAGAGTTCGTCGTGGCTTGATCGATAAAATTGCACCTGGCAAATCCAGGGATGAATCTGGTATGATTTTCTCGTCCAAGCTACGGCCAACTGCACTAATGATACCACCTTGCTTGATGACGAAGCGTCTGCAACCAACTTGCCAACCTCGGAGAACAAATGAACCATTGAATCGTGACTCCGGTATCTCGAAGCATTTTGAACGTACCACTATATATTGGAAAGTCAATTTGAAGTGCACGTTGTGTGGATGGATTGCGACGCGCAATCTCAAAGTGGACCGCGATTCCCATTGAAGTGAACCTTGGCCATTCGATCACTAAGACCGTAGCTGATGAAGCAGCAGCAAATTGGGTGTTGCCCGCCTGAAACCACTGCACTCCATTACGCGTTTCGATGTTATTTCCTCTCATCAGATAGAGATAGCAGGCATCGAACCCGGGACCATTGGGATGTTAGTTGTGACCGCTACCCCTAAGCCACCGGGTCAAGACAACGATTTCATCCATTTGAAAACTGACACCAGTGTTACCCCTATCCTAAATTCCCATCTACGTGCCGATGTTTTGTTAGATCAGTTGTGTGCTCAAAGCATCGAGGAATTCCGTCCTGGGCGAATTTGATTAACTGTATATGTCCAAATTGCGCAGCTACATGTCCTCACCTCACTCACTGAGGAAGGCGTGTGTAAAGCAATACGGATAAACTCGACCTAACGAACCGAGCGAACGGTGGTCATCTCATCTTACGTATTACCAGGACAAGTGGTTACTACGTGTAGCAATCAATGGTTCCACTCAGTTCTATTTAGGTATCAGCGTAGCCTTCCGTGCCCTATTACAATTGATGATACCTTTTTCTTGTCGGCCTTTCTGGGTTTGCCGTCACACGTGTTGTGTCCAGCTCAGCGTGGGTGCATGATGCACGTTATTCATCGAACCGGTGGCCAGTCGTGTTGTGTTTCCTAGTCCACACTCACTTAGGCAACAAGCTCGGGGCTTAAACTAAACGCATTATGCTCGCACGAATTCATCATGATGAACGAGGATGAGTTAGAACACCTAATTAATTTCTGTCCTTCGCGATTATATTTGCATATGATCCACTTGTTTTCAGAATGTCTTGTGATAATCTTTACGTGTCCTGAAACGAGAGCAATGTATAGTACAACTTTTTAATCACTACACAGGCAGTCCGCGGTTATCAAGGAACATTTTTATTGTCTTTTTTTACACTTCTCACGATTTGATTGTATTCTCTTCATCCAAACTCATCGTTCGTCTTGCATTGCAATGACCGGATGTCTTCCGTTGCTTCGGTTTGTAGTTGTGCAAGCTTTGGTCGCGATGTTACACTCACCTGAAACTGAGCATCCACTTCGTAGTGATGTGGCAGAGGAATACCAGAAGGACATCAAAAAATTTATGAAGACGGCGGAGGAACACACGAGAAAATTTGCGGAGAAACTGCCACCTCCCTAATTATTTTCCTTTATCATCCATTTCACCTCTTATTCTACCTTGTTCACGACTTCATCCAGAGCCAACTGCTCCAATGAGAGATATGCACAGTCCGTTGCACCCCATGCAAAATGACTCATAATTTGTGATCTTTTCACTCTTGTGTTTACCCTTACCAGACAAATTTTATATCAGCTTTGCCAACCCAGGCGGCGCTCCATATCCCCTTTGTGCGTATATCATTATGCTTTGCTGTTTCGAAAGCTCAGCCCGTGTTGAATCATTTGCTTACTCGCGTCCCTTACGCCCCTCACTCCGTAGTATGAATCGTTCCTGTATCCGATCGTTTCCTCTGAATGCCCTCTCCGGACTACCTACGCAATAAGGGAATCGCGCATTGCCCCGTTTAATTGCATGCTTTCGTAATTAATGTCATTCGCGTCAGCTCATATGCAGTTTCGCGCTGCATGCTTGCTTTTGCACTCTGACATTTGTAGGCAAAACACTACCAAAAACCCAACTATGCCCTAGCGTCCTAATGGTATCCCGATTATTCGTACTTTCCTCAGCTTTAACCATTAGAACAAGGAACCTATCTTCATTTCTCATTCTGTACTCATGCAACTTAGAACAAATGGCTTGTGAGCATTATTCTGTGTTCGCTTGTCTAGTAGCTCATTCTAGTCCCACCAAGTTTCCCGCTCGGCATTCCTCTGAACCCACAGTTGGTCTTTACTATCCCAGTGAATCACGCGCACCTGGCTGGTTGTTTACATTTTCTCTCAGTACGCCCTGCAGGCCCTATCACCAGCCCCACATTCTGCGCATTCGGCTTCTGTAATTTACCACGATTTCACCCACCATTTGTTACTAGCCTACAACCTGCACACATTGAAGGTAGTTGAAGGACATTTAATTGCCCCTGCTGCTTGTTCCACAACGTCTCTTACTTGATGTGATCACGCTTAGATTTCCGTCGGCTCTTCGCTGCGCGCGCCTGAGTTAGATGGCTCTGATTATGACAATGCGTTAACCGTGTTCCCCTATCCCGAGTAAACTGCTAACTCGATACTTTATTCCCTTCGGCTGGACCGAAATTTCATGAACTTTATACTTGTACTCGCTCCGGATGCCTGAACTCAAGGCAAACTTGTCAACGACAAATTATTGAACAACTTGAAACAGGGCCTGCATCTTCCAACTAATAGCACGAAGGATAAATAGGTTATTTTGATTTGCATCGTTCGCTATCTACGGTGAACCAAGGCTGCTTCAGGTGATCCCTTGAGTCGGACTTTCAGCAAAGTGAGCAGAACTCAGGAGACTGTCGCAAACAACACGACGAGAGAGATAATTGACATCTGTATACTGTAGAAAGTCGGTCCTTCAGGGACAAAACGGATAATCTGCAAACAACGGACCAGGCGAAAACGCAGGCAGAGGGCGAGTGAAACATATCGGTATACACAGCTAGTTGGATCCATAATTAACGACCTTTGTGAATGCATGACATTTTTCCTTTGATTCAGTCAAACAAACTCACTCCAATGCGTCCAACTGTTGGCCAATCAGCATGCGTGCGAGAAACGTGTGACCGTCCAACCAGCTGCCGCCTTTCCTTGCGGCAGCCTAACGGCTTACTTGCTGGGCTGGCACCGCACGTTCGTTCGAGTGTATACTCCCATCACATGTACCACTCTTCTTCCGTGGCATGATCGCCTAGTTGACGTCAATGCAACCGTTATCTCCCAAATATAATGCATGAGGTCCGAGTGTGATGAAAGGTACGCTCCACTTCGAACAAATGGTAGAAACATTGTTCAGAAGTTGGCAGATATTACGCACCAATCTGTTATCTGAAATACGTCCAAAGGCGATCAACACCTGGATACTGCTTGGCTACAGCGACACGAAATCTAGGAGGTTTGGTTACAGCCTCAGCTATCGCACCTCTGGACCGGAACGCAGTGCACAATATCTACACACATGAACCGGAGTGTTAAGTGGTGGATGTTTAGTGCACCAGTCCAAACCGTCTCCATGAGGTACACCAGAAATACGCCCCATAAAACGATTCTGCGCCGACCTCACAAGAGTCGGTGTAATCCCGTCAGAAATCTGTGTTTTGCAACGCGATTCTGGCGTCTATAGCCCTGTCTTGTTTGTATACGAATGCACGAGTCCGTCGCACAATCATCGACCCACCAAAGGTGGTAATGTATATTCCCTTACCTGCAGTTCTCGATTTGCTGTGGCTTCATCTGCATCAAACGCGAGTTGATACGCTTTGTGACTATCGTATCCCGCCAACCAATATCCATTTCAAAAGTGGGTTGTGTTCTAGCTTCTGCTATGATGAACTTGCTACCATGGTTTCACAATCACCATCTCTTCGTGGGAGACTTCAACACGCACGTCTCAGAGGCCCCGGCTATTCTTGGTGATAAATTCGGAAGTGAAGTATAAGTGCTACTCATTACCGTACTTCTAGGCAATGAAATAAGGATGAATGTAAAATAGGAAAAATCGAATGAAAGAGGTACTATATCGTCAATGTAAAAAAGAGGTAGGTATGTTTTTTACATCAGCGTAAAAGTGGATCGAGCCGATCATACGATCAAATTGTGCGACGTGATAGCCGAAGACAGGCAACTACACGAGTTGTCCATAGGCAAAAAATTAAACAGGATATCCGTTATTGCCATAACTGAAATCAGGTATATATTTCTGGACTGTTAACTCCAGAAAAAGGGGGAAATGGTTAGCATTACAGAACGACTGCAACGAAAGGAATCGCAGAATAAATCTTACGAATTAGGCAATTTGAGGGGAGGATTACAAACATAGTTCCTGGCCCCACACTAGTAAATAATTTCACTCCCGGATTTAGATCAGAAGACAGTTGGTGTGAATAGTTTGAAAGGAGTAAAACGCATAGGCAGTTGCGTTAATTAATAGCATGAGAAGCGATTGTAACAGCTCATAGTAAAATAAATGTGCTTCACTTTTACCTTGTTTACTGATCATTTGTTTCTCGTCACATTAGCTGTGATCCTTTAACCCTGCTCCGGTATCATTAAAAAAAGTCGTCCTTGGTACCATAGGTCCAGTTTGACCGCATGTTAAAGACATGCCATATGACTAAAATAACGTTTCTGACTCATCGCTGATCATCCTCATCAAAACATGTTGGCTACTGCGCCGCACATTAGCTGAAGTGTGTTTCTCACTCTCAGCCGGTGTGACGATGAATGTACCGTAATACAAAAAGAATAGATACTAGACATCGCAAACTACAAAATCTAACACGAGCAATATACTGCTAAGTATCACAGTATGTATCGGGTGTGGGATCAGTGTTGAAGAAGATGGATAAGCGGGAAGGAGAGGGACAAAGAAACTCACAACACAAACGCCAATGAGGCCCGTTCTTCACCATGTCAACAAGTGCATCCAACCAAATGTGTTCATCGTTCTCCGGACCCCAGCATGGCAGTTGAGACACTAACCGACGCCAACATCGTGATGAGGGTTCTCATTCTTCTTGACCAAGTCATCAGTTGGCCTGTCCTCCTCATCTTCCATCAACACTCCGGTCGCACAAACAACGCACGACGCTGGAGTGGATTTGTTAGCACGCAAAACACTCGGCCCAGTCATCGTCCCTGGTGCGTGATATAATGGTGCTGAGCTGTTCACTCGCTTTTCGTTCGCCAACTTGCGTACTCGTGGCCTTAAGGATCACAAGCCTGTTTTGTAACGCGCAAGTCGCGAGTTCAAACCTGTGTAGCGAATTGGGCGACCCGCGTAGTATGCTCAGTCCACGCGTGGTTGGAGGTGGCTGCGCGGCAGCGAAGCGTGGGTATCGCTTACCGGCATACTGCTGATGCCTACATGAACTCGCTGAACACGCTCATTGCTCAAGCGGTGTTCTCACTAGATTTGAGCTAAGCTGCAAAGGCAGCGATGGTTGACCTGATTGGCCAGGTTTCACAACCATACTGGAGGGTTGAATGCATGTCTGCGTTGTAAACTGAGACTATACTTTATAGCAAGTAGAAAAGCTTCTGTACAACTCTATCGAGTTATGAAAAATCAGAAACATTTACTTGCGGATTGTTAGCGGCTGTGTTTGGTCAGTAAATCGTTTGTCCTTGTTCGGTTAGGCATTCATATTGGTGTCATTCTTTCCGGGTTTTCGCATTGTATGTGCACCGTTTTCACAAAAGCACAGGTTTCCGAAATAATCGTCGGTGCATGTTTTGAAACGCTTCACAGAATCGGCCTCTATTAGTCCTTCTGATTGTGTATCCCATAAGTTTACGTTTCTACGTTCGGTACGAAGTTGATGTGATGCCCTGTTCATTCATAGAACCCTGCGTCTGTAGCGGTGTCTTCGAGTGTTACAGGTTTCCCGCAGGTAAAATATTGGGCGCACTAAAATAAAATACATTGCCAGCTGTACGCCGTAACAGCGCTTGGCTGTCACGCGACCACCATCAGTCTCTCGGGTGCTTAGTGCACTAAGAGGGCGCCCACCCCAACGCGCATTCGAACCAGTGACCTTATGGTTGCAAACCAGGCGCGCCGACCACTCGGCCACCGGTCGCAGTATGGGGAATTGATTCAAGTGTAGTATTCAGTGGGTCATAATAAGGTCAATTCGTACTCGCAGCAGGACAGTGTGTAGAGTCCGAAGATTTCACAACGTTTTTCATACGTAAACTTTCATAGACTGGTAATCGTTCTAGTTGCGATGTGCTGTATTTTTCCAGCTTTTCCATTTCTCACGGTGAGGATGAATTTGCACCGGCGCCACAGGTGTCCGCGATTGGCAAAGGCACCCCAAGCTTTTGCTATTAGGTTGGTGACCTCATCTTCTATTCCACAGGTATTAATATGGCTGCCTAAGTACCTAACTTGTTGAACGACTTCCATTTGATCACCACTAATGGTCAGCACAGAATAGGGTCCCGGCCAATCTTGGAGAAGTACTTAGCATCTCGATGGAGCAACGCAAA